CCACAGGATCTGGGAGCTGGACAAAGTCAACACTACTATACAGAAACTTGATGAAAGACAACGTACCTTTGATCTCAACTCACCCAAATGATGAGGAATATGGAGTACCACGATAACAGAGGTAGAAGGAACAACCTTCGAATCCAAGGTCCTACCTGAACCTCAAGATGGAGCAGAAGACTTACATGACAAGCTACAAAATTTGTTTAACTCGACACTCAAGAGGCCTTTAGATACAGGATCCTTATGGACAGAGCACACAGGGCACTGAGACCTAAAGGGATTCGTCCTGATCTCTCTTTGATCACTCTCTAAGGCAGAAGAGCACTGCGCCCACTCACACAAATACTCTAGAAGAGTAATATATAGTACCGGTGGGGATATCTGTTTTTTCTGACTGTTCAACATGGAGAGAAACAACTAATGATCACCACACCTACAGTTATAAAAAAACAGAGTGAGGAAGACAGACAGATCTATAAGTTTAGGCAGAAAGAGGCTAAGCAAGTTGTAAGAGCCTCCAAAGCACACAGAAGAGAAAATAGCACAGTCACTAAAAAAGGGGAATAAAACATGTTTTAGATACATAAATAAGAAAAGGAAGTAAAACAAGGATTAGTTAGATTAAAAACAAAAGAAGGAAGGTATGTAGAAGAGGATAAAGGTCTAGCTGACTGCCTCAATTCATATTTTTATTCAGTAATTACAGATGAAAATGAAGGAGAGGGACAAATGGGTCATTTGTTACATGTGAGTTTACAGAGGAAGAGGTTCTATTACAACTGTCAAAAGTAAAGACAAATAAGTCAATGGGGCCTGATGGAATACACCCAAAGTTATTAAAAGATCTTAGAAGTGTACTAGCAAAACCATTAATGGATTTATTTAACCAATCATTGTTAACAGGAGTAGTCCCAGAAGATTGGAAATTAGCAAATGTTGTACCCATTCACAAGAAAGGTAGTAGGGAGGAGTCAGGCAACAGTTAGTCCCAGAAGATTGGAAATTATCAAATGTTGTAACAATTCACAAGAAAGGTAGAAGGGAGGAGTCGGGCAACATTTAGCCTTACTTCAGTAGTGGGGAAAGAGATGGAAACCATGTTTAAAGATAGGATTGTTAAACATCTAAAATCACATGGATTTCAAGATCAGAGAAAACATGGGTTTACTTTAGGATCATGCCAAACCAATCTTACTGATTTTTTGATTGGGTAATTAAAATACTAGATCAGGGTGGTGCAGTAGACATTGCTTACCTAGATTTCAGTAAGGCTTTTGGCACTGTTCCACATAGAAGGCGCATCAAAAAATCTTTGAGTTTGGATTCCAATATTGTTGAATGGGTTAGGCAGTGGCTAAATGACAGGCAACAGAGGGTTGTAGTCACCGGAGTATATTCAAAGCAAGGTGTAGATACCAGTGGGGTAACTCAGGGATCTGTACTTGGACCCATTCTCTTTAATATTTTTATTAGTGATATTGCAGAAGGTCTTGATGGTAAGGTATGTCTTTTTGCTGATGATACTAAAATTTACAACAGGGTTGATGTTCCAGGGGGGATAAGCCAAATGGCAAATGATTTAGATAAATTAGTCAAATGGTCAGAGCTGTGGCAGATGACATTTAATGTGGATAAGTGGTAAGATAATGCATCTTGGGTATAAAAACCCAAGGGCAGAGTAAAGAATAGTTGATACCCTACTAACCTTAACATCTGAGAAAAGGGATTTGGAGTAATTATTTCAGATGACTTAAAGGTAGGAAGACAATGTACTTGAGCAGCAGGAAATGCTAGCAGAATGCTTGGTTGTATAGGGAGAGGTATTAGCAGTAGAAAGAGAGAAGTGCTCATGCCATTGTACAGAACACTGGTGACACCTCACTTGGAGTATTGTATACAGTACTGGAGACCGTAGCTTTAGAAGAATATTGATACTTTAGAAAGAGTTCAGAGAAGGGCTACTAAACTAGTTCATTGATTACAGGATAAAACTTACCAGGAAAGGTTAAAGGATCTTAACATGTATAGCTTGGAGGAAAGATGAGACAGGGGGATATGATAGAAACATTTAAATACATAAAGGGAATCAACACAGTAAAGTAGGAGACTATATTTAAAAGAAGAAAAAACTATCACAACAAGAGGACATAGTCTTAAATTAGAGGGGCAAAGGTTTAAAAATAATATCAGGAAGTATTACTTTACTGAGAGGGTAGTGGATGCCTGGAATAGCCTTCCAGATGAAGTGGTAGAGGTTAACACAGTGAGGGAGTTTAAGCATGCATGGGATAGGCATAAGGCTATCCTAGTCTTATGATAAGGCCAGGGACTAATTAAAAGTATTAAAAAAATTGGGCAGACTAGATGGTTCTTATCTGCCATCACATTCTATGTTTCTATGTCTCAACAGGCAGTCTTAGTACCCACTAGAGAAGCTAGAGGACAAAATCATTGATCTGGCCTCTTGGGCGCAGAACACTCAAACACCTTCTTTGCTACTGGCTGTTGACACGGAAAAGGCCTTTGACAGGGTGACTGGACCATTCTTTTTGCCATTGGGATTTGGCCAAAATGGATAGCATGGTTAAAGGCCATATATTCCTCCCCAACAGCAAAAAATAAAGTCAATGGCCAATTCTCTAGACCCCTTCCAATTACAAACGGAACAAGACAGGGATGTCCCCTCTTGTCTCTTCTCTTTATTATAGTATTAGAACCATTACTCCAAACTATTAGAAACAACTGCGATATCCAGGGTATAAATGTGAGTACTGAAAAGTTCAAAATATCCGCATTCGATGGCGACCTTTTATTCACGATAACGAATCCCTCAGATTCACTGCTACACCTCCTTAGGGAACTGGAAACATATAGTTTGCTCTCTAACTTTAAAATTAACATTGACAAAAGTGAAATACTTAACCTAACACTTAATCAAACAGAAGCAGACCGCTTATGAGACAAATTCCCCTTTCTATGGGTCCAACATTCCATGAAATACATAGGGATTCATTTAACTTCCCTGGCAAAAGACCTATACTCTGCTAATTTTCCCCAGTTGATACAAGCCATCCAAAAAAAATTATAAGCCTTGAACAAACCTCACTTTAGGTGGCTAGGAAGAATTAATATTATAACTATGAATAGCTTGCCAAGATTGCTTTATATCCTCAATACCATCCCAATCTTATTACCTTGAATGTTCTTTAAGACAATACAAACCCTACTGCCCTATTAAGTTTCTTTTATTGGTTATGTCACTACTAATGCATACATTAGCTAAATGACATAACCTGTTCTATTAAACTATACTAAACCAACTCCATAGATCGATTTGTTACTTGATGGAAGTAGGATAAAAGTGTATGTATATATATATATATATATATATATATATATAGAGAGAGAGAGAGAGAGAGAGAGAGAGAGAGAGAGAGAGAGAGAGAAAAATCAAAAATCAGGATGCACTCACAGGGCTTAGTTAAAGTGAAAAAAAGTGACTTTTAATTATTCCATGTGAAATGTACAAAAGAATCAATCGACGTTTCGACCCTGACGGTTTTTTTTCAAGACCCGTCAGGGTCGAAACGTCGATTGATTCTTTTGTACATTTCACATGGAATAATTAAAAGTCACTTTTTTTCACTTTAACTAAGCCCTGTGAGTGCATCCTGATTTTTGATTTCTGCATATTTTTGCCGTATAGGATATAGCACCCAGGCCATAAGTCTGTATTTACTATTAAAAGGAGAGTGCCAAGCATCCATTTTGCTGTTATATATATATATATATATATATATATATCTCGAAAGCACAATATAACATGTTTGTGATGTCACCTGCGTGTGATGGGACTTTAAATAATGACCTACGTCTGTCATATGTTATATTTGCTAAAAAATCTATAAAAACAAAGTAAATAAAAAAAATTTAAAATATTAGTTATGAAGAAAGACTAGAAAAACTGCATTTGTTTTCTTTAAAAAAAATGTGCATCAGAGGGAACATGATAGTAGTGTACAAATATATACACGGTCAATACAAATCGCTAAGGTGTTTTTTCATACAACAGAGGAAAGGTTTCTTCACAGTTATAACAATTAATAAGTGGAATTATCACCTAAAGAGGTTGTCTTACCAGATTATATAAATATATATATATATATATATATATATATATATATTTTAAAATGTCCTGAATGCTTTTTTTGCATAAACAGAATATTCAAGCACATCATTAACATAAAGAAAGAAAGGTTGCACCAATAAAGTAGTAATAAGAAATATAAACAACAATGGATAAAAAAAAAACTTGAAAAATAAGACCAGCTTAAAAAAAAGACACTAAATAAGATAATAGAATAAAAATGTCCAATTAAACTTGCAAGAAAAACAGCCAAATTCTGTAGGGTAGTCTCTTTTCAATATCAGAGCAGGAAAAAGCTTTGGATCTGTGTAAATATAAAAGACGACATAGGATACAACCAAATGGTGTAGTATATCACACCAATTCTAATGGTATATAGATCTTATGTAGTCCTATTCATGTTTTCTAGAGCTAGTACCAGCTCTAGTATGAATGACTTTAGTGAGGTCTTCACTGCCTCCATGCTGTCCAACCACCATCCGAGTTCTTCCTTAAACTCCTCCGTTACCATGATGGTTTGGTCGTAGGAAGGGTTTTGGCGAAGAAAAGAGGTCTTCAGGCATTGCACCACCCTGTAGTGGAGCGGTCCCGGGAAAATCGCCTGATTAGAGGCGGATAGTAGGCCTACTATCCGAGCCAGGTTGCGGAGTGGAATGGTACAGCAGCGAATGACTCTGCGCAGTTCCTTTCTGATGGCTGCAACGTTTGATATCGGCAGCCATAGTGTGCTGGACCTGGAGTCTATCTCGAAGCCCAGGAATTGTATCGTCTGGGCCGGAGATATTGCCGACTTCTGGTAGTTCACCACAAATCCTAAGGACATCAGGAATTCTGTGGTATAGCTTGTGTTTTCAGTCAGTCTGGACCTGTCGCAGCAAAACAGTAGAAGGTCGTCCAGGTAGATAATGCACCGAATTCCTCGTGCTCGTAGATGTGCAACTACTGGCTTCAGCAGCTTGGTGAAGCACCACGGGGCCGAGCTGAGGCCGAAAGGAAGGCATGTGAATTGCCAGGGTAGGCCTTGCCACCAGAACCTGAGAAATTGGCGGCAGGTGGGGTGGACGGGTACTGATAAATACTGAGGTCCAGTCTGGTGAACCAGTCCCAGTCTTGGAGGAGGTCTCTGAGAAGGTGGATGCATTCCATCTTGAAATGCCTGTACATTACAGATTTATGACAGGTCTGAAATCCCCGGATTTCTTCTTCACCAGAAATATATTGCTGAAGAAACCCCCTCGAACGTGAGCGGGTTCGATCGCACCTTTCGATTGGAGCCCTCGTAGTTCACCGTCAATGAGTTGGTGGTCCCCTTCGGAGCACTGTATGGGGTGTGGAGGGACTTTCTGGTTTGGTGGGTCTACGAAATCAATGACATAGTCGCGTACCATCTGGAGGATCCATGCGTCCGAGGAGATGGTTGTCCAGTTCTGAAAATATAGAGCGATACGACCTGCAGTATGTGTGGAAAATGGACCGTGAATTAAAGGTTTGCTTACCTGTGGGGAAGCGTGCTCGGCAACGGCCACGTGGTCTTCTACCTTGGTCGGCTCCGCTGGTGTAGGAGAATGGTTGCCTGTTGCCCACTTCTGGGTAGAAGGGTTGAGGTCTTTGTGAGCGGGGGCCTGAAGGCCAGAAGTGGCTGGCTGCACGGCCCCTTTGGCGGCCAGCCCGTCCAAAAACACCCCTACTGGAGTAGCCCCTAAAGACTCGTTTCATAGACGTCTGAGCCTTATTAAGGGACGTGAACACATTAACATGTCTGTTCAGTTCTTTCAGGAAATCTTCCCCGAACAGTTTGCCCTGTGCCAGAGGTCCTAACTCCTTGGTACCCAATTCCACCAGCTTTCCGTCTATGCGGAGCAATGCTGCTTTACGCCTCTCAGAGGAGAGTGCTACGTTGGCATTACCAACGAAACAGAAGTACCTTTGTGCCCATTCTCTTATGTCATGCACCCATTCTTTTACCATGCTGGCATCGAACAGGTCAGCCCTTGTAAAAGCGTTGTCCGCCAAATACATGATGTGGGAAAGCAAGCCAATAGAGTCCAGAAGGTTGTCCTGGACACCGTGGAATCCTTTCTCCACACCTCTCCGGTGGTCACGGCCACCTCGAGACATGAAGGTGGTCATTACTTGGTCAAACTCCGGAGTCTGAGCCACATGGTCGGGAAGCGAAGGGTCGGGAAGGGCGAGGGCATTCAGAACGTAGTCGATTGCGCACCGTTTTGTCCATGGGTTTGCAGAGCCACAGATGCAAGAATATAGAGAGGTGGTAGGGGGGTCCAGTCCCCAGAACGTGGGTGTCCGATGTTACGATGATCGAAAAGACGCTGACCCGTGGGGTCCAGGATGACTTCACCCTCCTCTTGGACGGGTGCAAGGTTGTCCGGCAGTTGGATGTCATCCAAGAAAGTACCTTTAAGAAACCGGTATGGGATCTGAGTCATCTACCTGCGAATCAGAATCTGCGGCCTGCCACTCGTCCAACACAGCCATGGAGCACGTGTGTTCTTCCCCCTCATCCGAGGAGTAATGGTGTTGTGGGGCCGGGGCAGGCGGGGTCGGCTTGTGGCGTTTGGCAGGTGCCTTGCCTTTGCCCGGGATATTGTTCCCCTTTTCGCCCTTCCAGTGGCGTTTGCTAGGCCGGGAGTCAGACTGTGCGTGCGATTCCAAAGCCTCAGAATTGTAGTCATGGTGCTGGGCTTTTGTGGCTTTCTTGGTGTGATCGGCAGATGCCCTCATTACCCTGGAAAGAGCTTTATCCATTGAGGCGGAGATGGCTTCAGTAATCATTGCCTGGAAGTCCGCAGGGTTCTGGGATGCTTCCATGATAAATAGGGCTAGTATAAATCAAATACAATATTGAGATGGTGGCACAGGGTGTAATATTGTTTGTCTAGGGGTCAGTCTGTAGCGTGATTCACAGTGAGTGATGGTACCCACAGTACCTGTATAACCCGAGCAGGGTTTAAATATATAAAATGTAATAGTGGTATCAGTAGTACCTTAAGAGAATAACCCAAGCAGGGTAGATAATACAGCAGTATCAGTAGTATGATACACCCCAGCAGGGTAAATATGTAATATCAGTGTATGAGGTATCAGCAATACCAGTAACCCCAGCAGGGTATAATGGGCTTTGCACTGGGCCTCAACCAGTTATATATAGATAGGTGGTATGAAATCCACCTGGCAGCAGCAATATAATAGGGGCCTCACCCCAAATGCACAGGGTTAACAGACCCTACAGTGCAGGCTACAGTATAGGCAACTGGCCTGATTGAGGATGTGTCCGGTAGCGGAGCGTTCAGGAGCCGGAATGACGGAGATCATGGATCTCCTAAGATGGCGGCCGCAGGTCTCGCGAGACGCGAGATCCAAGATGGCTGCCGGAGAGACGGGGAAAAAGGGGAGCTTCCCGCCTTGCCGGCTAGTGCGAGTGCGGCTGTGAAGCCAAGAGGGAGAGAACAGATGGGGAGGGTGATCGTTATCCTCAGAGGTATGAGACAGAATGAGCAAAAAACGATCCGTCGGCGAAAAGAGCGACGGATCGAAATGGCTCTAGAACAAAAGGAAGAGAAAGAAAGGGGAAATAAAAAAAACCTCAAGTGAAGCAGGGAAAAGAGTCCCTGAAGAAAAGTATATTAAAGTGGAGAGAGTCCCTAAGATGACTAGAGAGAACACAGTATATGAGAATGGGAGGTGTATATAGACAGTATATATAATTATATGAAAAGAAATATACACAAATCAATATAGACAGTATACACACAGTATAACACTATATGAAAAGAAGCATACACAAATCAATATAATCAGTATACACACATTATAACACTATATGAAAAGAAGTATACACAAATCAATATAAACAGTAATATAAGGGGAGAGCCAAAAACTCTGACCTGTCTGCTGATGGAGCAGTGAAGAAAGAGGGGGAGGAGCCTCATCACTGGGAACACTATACTTCCTATTGCATTTTGATTGGTTAATGTTTTCACTTTTCTTTACCGCTATGTGGAGTTAGTAAAGAGAGTTAATGCAAAATAGGAAGCCTCCTGTCATGTTGTAAAATTAAAAAGCAAGCCACAATTATTGTTTTATTTTTCAGTGAAACAGATATCAATGCGTTAGATGCACTGTATTGTCTTCTGAATAATTTCTCCCAAGCCTGGACAAATATTTTGCCTTTTATATAATTTTCTAGGATTTTCATTGAATGACTTTTGATTAACTCAGTGGGTTATTTTAGCTCTACCAGTATTTTCAGTAACATATATTGGTGCTACTTGAAAGAGTTCACTTTCAAATGAAATAAATTGATAGATTGTGCTATCCAAATTTACAGCAGGCAGTTTGATTAAATAAATAGGCTCCATATTCACTGACTCAGGAAGTGCTTAGACTGTCATATGTGCAGCACAATATGTTACTTTAGTTCAAATGTCTTTTGAATAATATGGAGAAAACGATGAGCAGTCTGGATATTTAAAAGTGCAGTGAAAATTGCATCTGATATGTAAGGCTATATCTTATGTCTTTTATAACATTTAACACCAGGCAGAAAAGCAAGAATAAGTCTTTTCTGCAGGGAAAAATGTGTCTTTTAACATGGGGCCATAGTCCAAAGGCAGCAGGCTAGCAACCAGGCTTCTCCAATGCAATGTGGCGAGATTGCTCTCGTCACACATCGCTTGCGACCTTTTGATCTCGCTTGTGGATCCTTACAGGTAACACTTAGACCACCCACTTGCTCCTTGCCACTCCATATTAAATTAAAATTGAATGTATGGGACAAACATAGAGGAAAAATGTGCAATCAACATCATCTCTCCCTAACTAAGGGCCCTGATAGTCAGGACAAGCCGAGGTCAGGGAATCCAGGGAAATCAAGCAAACAAACTGCCAAAGTACCATACAGAGTGATTTAGTAGTTCAGCTCTGTATGGTAGACTTTGAAACAGTCTGTTATGCAGAGGGCGGGTAGGGATGGACAGGAGGGGCAATAATAACTGGAGTCCTTTCGGACTCCTCTTTTCCAGCAAACACGGCATTTTCGTTGGGGTGACCTTTTACAGGGTGTGGGGGGGGGATTCGGGAAGGGAAATGTTTGCTGAAAAGTCGTTGGACATCTTCTGATTCCAAAGGAAGGTTAGGATTTGGGGTCTGGACAAATATAATTTGAGACAAAATTTGGACCATAAACTCTAGAAATGGGCATGGTCTACCTATGGCTTCCTTTATAAAGCACATAGGCATTGAAAATTGCAATCTGGGTTATGTAAATTGCAATTTTCTTGTACCAGGTCCTACTCTTCCGGTTCACCAGATAAGATAAAAATGTAAAAAAAAATTTGACCCTAAATAATATATATATTTTTTTTTTACTTTTTCTTTATTTTATACAGTTCTTTCTCCTACAGGGCTCTCCAGCAATGATCTCTCTGCCTCCCTCTCTCAGATCGAAGTGAGGTGAGGAGAGGGGCAGAGACAATGTGATTTAAAATCATTGGCTGACACAAACTGCAGATCACCACGGATTGGCCACAGGGGACCTGCCTGGGTTGCCAGGCAGGTCCCTCCACCGTGATCTGCAGTTTGGGAGGGATCGGGGCAACGTGGGTGGGCTCAAACGCCGCGGCGTGCTATGCCGCCACGAAGGCGCTTAAGTCCATTAACACCGGGACGGCATAGCACGCCATAACAGCGTAAATGGGTTAATCTGTATTTTGTATAAATGTTGGTCTCTATGGTAGCTGAGAAATGCATGTTCCGGGTGAACACCCAATAAGAAGCGATAAGAATTTGTCTTATTTTGAATGAAAATATAAATATAGTCCATGTAAAGTTAAATCTCTTTAATATACTCAAACTTAGCTGGTTCATGATGAATTTGTTCTAGCTTCTGGGGAGAATTTGCCTCATCCATTATTTTTAAAATATATTAAAGATCTGAATATTTTTTTATGTGGATAGATTCGATAGATGTGTCACAGGTGGCGGTACAGAGACCGGGTGCCTGATGATGATGGGAGTCTCAGCGTGGAAATGGACTATTATGGCCTAGTGCAA